TTTCACACGTCAATCACCTCTCCAATATTGAGAGCCGAGAAAAAGTTCTTAGTTTTGAAAGCACCGGGTGGGACCCAGAGCAGGGCTGCCCGCCCCCCCCCCCCCCCCTTTTCCCTAAGTGGCGTCTAACGGCGTAAATATGGGTAGACAAAATTGTCTTATTAGAAAATTTTCGAAATATTATTAAAATCATTAAGAAAATCTTTTCTTCCCGTCAGCGTCCCTTTGACGGTGAATTGGTAGTATTCCATTTCATTCGTTTTTTTTTTTTTTTTCTCATCTTTTACTTTTCTGGGAACAGCAATACCATAAAACGAGCATAAAACCGATGAACTCTGCACACGCGACATTGACTCGCTCGTAAAACGATTTCACGACGACAGCTGTTAAGGGCTCATCCACCGCACTTCAAATGTTCGTGGAGGACGTTGTTGGGCGACCGTCGTCGATGCCGACAGACGCATGAAAAACGTAAACCCTCCACCATTCGCCTCGTTTTTTCCCAGATTTCAATCCCCTGATCCGCTCATTATGAAGCGAGAACGCTGCCACAGAGCCAGGCCAGCTGCTTCGACGCACCGCAATAATAAACCTGACGAGTTGAGGACACCTGGTCCAACGCGTCTCACGCAGCACCCACTAGACCACCGCGCAAGTGCTGGTGATGTCGCATCACGCCATCTGAGTCTCACACAGGGATGGGCAGTATTTCAAATACAAGTATTTTCAAATACTTTGTGTATTTTGCATTGTATTTAATTACAAATTGGGTAATGTATTTGACGTGTGTATCTAAATACTAAAACGTGGGTATTTCAAATACAATTGTAATTAAATACAATTTTGTGGGTGAAAATACATCCCTCAAATTTATTGTCGCTGTCCAGAGCAGGAAGAAAACTACGTTCTGCGCCGAATGCAGTGTCTCTCAACCAAGCACAAGCGTTTAGTGACTTTGTGACTACGGTGATAGTCCAGGGCAGGAATAGTGACGAAATCGACGTTCACAGGCAGACTGGCTAAATAAGTGCCTGTGACCACTTGTCATGCTTTCCAGCCTGATTTCCCCCCATATTTTTGCCTGGAACATTCTAAATGCGCGGGTCGTCCAGATTTTCGTAACTGGTGCGTGTTGCTACAATAAAAAATTCTCTAGCTAGTGCTGCGCGTCTTGGTAGTCTCGGTTCTTTGTTGGTCTATACCAAAATGTAATCGACAAAAAAAGCTGCTTGAAGCTTTGTACTTTTTTCACCTATTACGTCCAAGCTGATTAATTTTCTTGTGATTATATTTTTATTACGTTTCTAGAGCCTCGCACACTAACTCCCGAGTGTGCAATGCAAAATTAAAATGAGATACCCAGAAACCCGTTGCAGGTGCCCTGAAATCGCTGACGCAAATTTTAAGGAATGTATTTGGAAAAGTATTTGGAGGGAGACCAAATACATTTGGTTGTATTTGTATCTTGTATTTAAATACTTTTTTGGAAATGTAATTATATTTTTAATTAAATACATTTTCGCTGAACTATTTTGTATTTGTATTTCGATAAACATTTGCATGTATTTTGCCCATCCCTGGTCTCACACCACGTCCGTTAGATGGTTTCTTTGCGTATAAGAAAATTGTACATGATTGTAAACCTGAGACTGGGGCCCCAGTCTCAGGTTTACAATTATGTTCAACTTACACCAGCTCGCCTGCACTCTATTTTTTTTTTTAATTGTATCGCAAATTCCTATGCAATTTTTTTTTTTGAATGCGTGAAACGTTCTAGCATTACCAGCGTTTAGGGATATTGGCACCTCGTGACTGCACCGATATGCAATCGGTGTAACGTAATGGAAATTTCCCGCTAGATTTGGCGGTGAAGCTGAATTGGTGTATAGGTAACGTTACATCAGGTCAAGTGACGTCAATTTGCCTGCTAAATTTAGTTTGGAAAGTGAATTTATGTGTAGGTCACGTGACGTCATTTTTCCCCGCTATATTTAGCGGGGAAGACTGAATTGGTGCTGAAGTAATGTGATGTCATTTTTTCCGCTAAATCTAGCGGGGAAGTTTAATCAGGCTTCACAAAATCGTTTGAGCCGAAGAACGTTTTACGTTAAAAATAAGCGAGCAGACATTGGGGAATTGTAGTAGACCGTTTCGGCAGACCGCTAAGCACCCTGATAGCGCTCCGTAATCCGCCACAAGACCTTGAACTACGCAGAGAAGGCTGACGGCGCGCATGCGCAGCTGCGGCGTTTCCTTCACAGATATTGTAGCGGAGGAGAAGAACGGTCTACTACAATACCCTATTGGCGATGGCTGCTCCACGTAAGGTGCCGAACGCAGCAGAAGAAGCGAAGCACGTCACCACAAAGTAGTATGAAGGTCACCAGGTTTACTCTGAGATACGTAAGGAAACCTTAGGGTCCGTTAAGGTGTGGCAGTTATGGTTGCGACTGTACTGCAGATTCACACGGGGCTTTTTTGTGTTATGGCATTGCTTCTTGTAGAAATGTGGAGCTTGAAATAAACTAGTCGCAAGGCAGAACCCCTGTTTATCTTTCTGTGTATTTCTCCGCCTGCTCTTTTTTTTTTTTTTTGCGCTGATGCTGTTTATAATTATGATTCCTGAAACCTGTTTCCCACTGGTGTGTTTAGTACATCCCAAAAAGTGGACCCTCGATGTCCGCCTCTTAACATCCTAAAGTGTCATGTCGTCGCCTTCCGCGATCCTGGCCGCGTGACAATAGTGGTTGTGGATGTGGCAGATGCCTGTTCTGCTGCAGGTCGCTCTTCATGTTAGCAGGCCAGGGAAACTCCAGCAGCCAGGAGTTGGGAGTCAGTGAAGGCCATGAAACCACGGCGCTCGTGCCTTGACACTCGCTTTCGATAGTACTTTTAGCCGGGACCTTTAGCAACAACTGCCAGAATCGCGGCATCAAAAAACGAGACATGCCTTCTTCCAGGGAGTCATTTGTTGCCACATCGAGGCACTGTTGATATTCGTAGAAAATAGGACGCCAAACACACGAGTCAAAGACGCGTTCTAGACACCGCACTCTAATGAATCGCTTACACGGCCAGGCTTCCAACTTATGAAGCTCCATTGCACCAGAAACTCAATCAGGGCACAGTACGATCTAAGAGACACTCAGGAGTGTGGTGTTCCACGAAAGGGCATGAGGTCCGTCCAGCCTACAGGCGAAATATGGTTCGTAGCCCAAGTACGGGAATTTAACCCTGCTCACCCAATGTGTGTGTAGATCTTCCCTTGCTTCCGGTTCGTTGAAACATTTTCCGTCCAAAAATAAAAAAAATACCGACGCTGATGATATGCAGTTAAATAAAAAAAACAAAAAAACGACGTTGATGATATGCAGTCGAGGGCATCACATGCCGTCAAAAAGCCCCCCAATTCTACATTTGCCAGGGCGCATGCCAAACAAGAACACTGTTCTCGAACGGCGTGACAGAAGGAAGCAGAAGTTCGAAAATGTGGCAGATTAGTCAACCGCTGCCTATGCGGAGCGCAATTTCGTCTGCTTCTTGCACAGGAGATGCGATGATGTAAGAACGCCGAGTTCTCATTGGCTGCTTGAAAAAAAATACCGGGTAGATCTCAAGGCATCTAACATCGAGGCCTACCCACTATGCTTCCAATCAAAGCCATTCAGAACTCGGTATCGTTCTGACGTCACCGGAACCCCTGCGCTCAAGATGCAGACGTCTTGCTCCCCGCATTCATTGGCGACGCAAAGGACGCTTGGGGCGCTTCGATAATTGGCTGTTAAAAATTCTTCCTCCACGCCCGTTTCATTTTTACAGTGCATATCGTTTCCTCGAAGCCTAAGTATAGTACTTCGGTCGTACTTAATTTAAATAATAAGACGCAAATTGTCGACCAGTTCGGGATTGAAGAAATAAAAATCCCCTTAAAGGGAAGTGGAAGTGCTCTTCTATTTAAGGAAAAACACTTTGTCTTTATTTCCCCTCCAGGATCTCGAATATCAAGTTATTTTTGAATTTGGTGCAGGAAGGCAGCAGCAAATGATTTTCAAAGTAGCACTGATGGCCCTATATCCCGGAGCGTCTGTCACAAAAAGAGTCCTCGGAACCTCCGATCTCGCGCATCTTAAGCGCCTTTCAAAGCGCTGCACGCGCAATCTTCGTATTTTTAAAAAGGTCAAGAAAATAGGTCATGACATAACGACTGGTGCCAGTGCGGGGGATGTTGGAATTGCAACCTGGCAACCTTGTATATGCACGCGTGGCCCTCAAGCAAGACGCGCTTGGCGGCCGAAATATCCTCTCATGATGTAACGACTGGTAGGAGATTATTTGTGTTTTCTTGCTTTAAGTCATATCTTTACGAAAAACCATTGTGATATTCAGATTCACGGGATAAAACTACGCTAGAACCAACCACCATCTTATTTTCTGAAAAAAGTATTTCAGCTTCCCTTTAATGGCACCACCGAACGCCTTGGCGCAAATCTCTCAGAGTATTACTGGGTTGAAAGGTTGCAGTGACGTGATTTGGATTGGGAAATGTTGCTTCAAGCATTGACTTTACTTTTGCAATCTTGCATCATCAACAGAGCGAATTTGAGGGGGAGAGGACGGAAAGGAGGAAGGCATTACCGCACCGTTAACCTAAGTCTCCCAAGAACCCAGGGGGCTGTTAACGAAAAGAGATGACATACCCAGATTCTTTCAAGAAACAAATGTTGAGTTGTTGGTAAGATCGTAAGTGTTAGGTCATCAAAATTAATCTGGGCCGTGCTTTTCCCATGACACCATATTCGTCCGCAATGTTAGGTCTCCTGCAAACACCTCCCTCATCCGAATTCCACACCCACCGCCTCTCCAACCCTTACTCAGAAATGCGCTCATGTCATCAAACTGGTATGTTAGGAATCAACCAATAAGTGGTAAAAGTCACCAGTTCTGCGGTATTACATTGCACAGAAGAACCTGTAGGAAAACAAAAGAATTGCGGTTTCCAGGTGCACCTGTCGACGAGGCGAGGATCGTGGATCTCACGGAGGGTGGGGCCGCACGGCAAGCCGATTGACTTCGCGCTGTCCACCAGGGCGCGTATCCTAAAGGGTCGCCTGCTGCCTCTTTCCGTCAGCCTCGACACACACGAAGCGATGCTGAACCGCAACTTCAACCACGAGGCCTATGGACTCCGGCCCAAGCACCGCATAAACGCCCAGCATCTTACCATGAATGACGCCCTACCGTCCCTGATCGTCAGCGGTCTCATCCGCATTAAGAAGACCATCGTTGAATTTACCGAGGACGGCGTACTTTTTGAAGGTGACGAGGAGGTAAGTTGGGAAAGTATCTTGACTACACAAAGGAATTTCAAAATATACGAGGTCCCTATTGGAAAACCCCAATATGAACAGCGTATTATGGATATTGGTAAACAATATATTTTTATTTTATTGCAATACAATATAGACAGTGTATTGGAAAACATTACATTTATTGTATTGTATTACAATAAGGTTTTGCTATGGGATTCCAATATCCATAATACGCTGAAAATATTGGAATCCAATACCGTATAAACCCTTATTGGATCCCCATGTGTCGTATGGGGATCCAATAAGGGTTTACGATTCCAATATACTCAGCGTTTTATGGATATTGGAATCCAATATATTATATCGGCTACCAATAAAACTATATACGAGTTGGAATATCACGTTCAGCGCAACATTTCTTTGCAACGCAGTCTCTTCTTGTGTGTATTTCTGAGTGATAAATTAAAAAAAAATGTTGCTGTTGTGAAATTGTGAATAAAGAAGCAAAACACTGGACTTATCCATACCAAATATATTTAACATATTCCTGAACTGGAGGATCTGGCATTTACTGCAAAAGAAAGTTAATTGTTTAGGACTCTCATTCAAAAACTTGATGTTTGAAAACAGAATGTGAAATCCTCACCCTAATGAAAACAGCACCTGCTAGCTGTAGCCATATAGAAACTGCAAAATAAAAATGTGTGATTAGTTCGCGACAAGTAGCAATCCTTCACCAAGCGGGTAGATTCAAAACTATGTCTGCGTTTGATTGTGGAAAAATAAGCTTCAATGCCACTGCCACAGGTCATTCTGAGCTCGGTCAATTAAATATACGTATCCGCTCGTCTGGCTTCACTATTCCTGCTTCGCACCTAACTAGAGTATATGGAATGCTCACCTTTGAGGAAAAACAAACTGGTGCTTGCTTGCTTGTAGGCCGTGGAAATTGGAAGAGAGATTTGCGGTTAGTTGCGTCCAAGTAGCAGTTACTTTGAGTAGCCACGTAAAGTACACTAAGTCTGAAAGATTCAAAATTACATGCGCGGGACATAGATATCCTCTTGCGACGTAACTGGGCACGTGTCAATGTCGCCCGCTTGTATTACAGAGAAATAAGCTTCAATGCAGGAGCTCCCAGTCGTTCTGAGCTCCGTCAATTAAAAATGCTGTACCGGTCGTATGGCTTCAGTATTCCTGCTTCGGGAATCTGGAATTCTCACCTTTGAAGAAAAGCAAACTGGGACCTGCTGGCTCTTAGGCTGTGGAAACTGCCAGAAAGATTTGCGATTAGCTGCGTCCAAGTATCAATTTCTTTGACCAGCCACCTGCAGCACACTAAGTCGGATAAATTCAAAATTACATGTGCGTGACATAATATGCCTCTTGTGACAAAACTGGGCACACGTTTTGTCGCCTACAGCAACACTGAAGCCAGACAGACGAGCGGTACGGCACCTTTAATTGACGGAGCTCAGAACGAGTAGGGACGCTTTCACTGAAGCTTGTTTTGCTGCAATATACACGTGTATTGCAGCAAAACAAGCTTCAGTGAAAGCGTCCCCAGTCGTTCTGTCAATTAAATATGCCGTACCGCTTGTCTGGCTTCAGTATTGCTGCTTCAGAGCAATCTAGAAAATCTAGAATCCTCACCTTTGAAAGAGAACGAACTGGCGCCGGCTGGCTTGTGGGCCATGGAAACTGCAAGAGAGGTTTGCGATTAGTTACGTCCAAGTAACAATTTTTTTGGGTAGCCACCTACAGCACACTAAAAATTACATGCACGGGACACAGATGCCTCATGCGACGGAACTCCCTTCGTCCTTGTTTTCTGTTAACTCTGCTCACCTTCACCACTCGCCTCCAATATCTGCACTACGTCTTTAATCTCGATTCCCTGGTTCCGAAAGGCCATGCCATGGCTTGCGCCAGTCACGGATCTGTCAGCTCTGTGACTGGCGCTATTGTGGCAAAGACGCCACAGCACCTGGCGCTTGATGTGCTCTTTCAATATTTTGAGCACGGCTCACAACGGGTGGATGGGTGTCTGGTATGCACTTTGCTTATTTGCGGATCGTTCCGAATCAGAATGTAGGTGCTTCTGCGATCTGGGCGCATGCTCGGTATTTTACAATAGTTGAAACCAAACTCTGCAGGAATCTTGAAATATAACAAACATAATGTGCACGCCAAAAGGCATAGCAAATGAAACACCCACCATCTATCTATTTCCGTTTCTTGTCCGCAAGAAGCTGTCGTATATGTAGCCTCCCTTGCTTAAGCCGTTCCTCCCTAGTGTCCCGGTTGGGTCTCGTCCTGATGAATCGTCAGTGGAGACCTGAGGAGCAGTCAACATCAGATTAGACCTTTTTGAGACAGAACCATATACTTGCCGAGAGGAAGTACACCCAAACGAATATCAGGCATGATATTTATAGTGCGTTTTAAATTGAGACGCATGATGTAAAATGAGACGTCAATACTGACGCACCCCTTTTGCGAACCCAAAATTTTGAAGGCCTTGTCCCCCTCGCTAGGGGGACAAGGCACATGAATCCCGGCATGTGGATGAAATTTTTACCTTAACATACCGACTCAATGCCCATCCCTGAATATTCTACCACCACACTTTAAAAAAAATATTTTTTTTAGAAAACACCGAGTCATCTACCACCCCTACAAACGCCTGAACCAAGCATACTCGTACCGTGGCTTGTTTGCTCAGTGCCGTCCCCGAGTTAATTCGGGCTGACAATGTTTGTTTTTTTTCAAATGGAACTTACATTCTTAGTTTTGGTTTGTCTTGTAGAAGCAGGTGGATACTTTTATAAAGCTTCCTCCCTAAGCGTTTCCGAGTCAACATTTTTGCAATGGCCAACCCCCGGGCTTTGATTTTGCGCTCCTTGATGAATGCTGAAACTCATATAGGCGGGCAATAGCTCGCCTTGAAAATACTTGCTTTTGGTGGCCGAGAACAAACTCGTGTTCCTGATTGGCAGCCACTTGCTGCCAAGAATTGCTGCACATATCCTAAAGATTAGTCTAACACAGACGCTTTGGCCGGACAGAGACACAAAAGCCTGAAACAAGGCCACTATACAGACAGGAAATAGAGTGTCTGTGAGGAATGAAACAGTAGCAATAGCTCGCCTTGAAAATACTTGCTTTTGGTGGCCGAGAACAAACTCGTGTTCCTGATTGGCAGCCACTTGCTGCCGAGAATTGCTGCACATATCCTAAAGATTAGTCTAACACAGACGCTTTGGCCGGACAGAGACACAAAAGCCTGAAACAAGGCCACTATACAGACAGGAAATAGAGTGTCTGTGAGGAATGAAACAAACAACTCAAATAGGCATCAATCACTCACCTTGAAAACACTTGCCATGCGCGGCAAAAAACAAACTACTGGCCTTGATTGGCTGGTCCTTGCCACCAAGACCTGCATGTATAAGAAAGAACCCGGTCTGAATTAAACTTGGGTGCTTTTGCAGAAGAGAGACAACAAAATACTAGTGCAAGACCACTACACATAGGAAATGGCATCCAAAAGGAATGAAACACAAAACTGATATAGGTGGGCAATAGCTAGCCTTGAAAATACTTGCTCTTAGTGGCCGAGAACCAACACGTGTTCCTGATTGGCAGCCATTTGCTGCAAAGAATACCTGCAGATATCCTAAAGAACCGAGCCTTAGTCTAACACAGATGATTTGACCGGACGGAGACACAAAAGCCTGACACAAGACCACTATAAAGACAGGACATAGAGTGTCTGTGAGGAATGAAACGCACAACTCAGGTAGGCGTCAATCACTCACCTTGAAAACACTTGCCATGCGCGGCAAAGAGCAAACTTCTGGCCTTGATTGGCTGCTGCTTGCCACCAAGACCTGCATGTATAAGAAAGAACCCGGTCTTAGTCAAACTTGGGTGTTTTTGCAGAAGAGAGACAACAAAATACTAATGCAAGACCACTACACATAGGTTATGGCATTCAAGAGGAATGAAATACAAAACTCATATAGGCGGGCAATAGCTCACCTTGAACATACTTGCTCTCGGTGGCCGAGAACAAACTCGTGTTCCTGATTGGAAGCCATTTGCTGCGAAGAATACCTGTAGATATCCTAAAGAACCCAGTCTTAGTGTAACACAGATGCTTTGGCCGGACAGAACACAAAAGTCTGATACAAACCACAAAAAGCAGGAAATAGTGTCTGCGAGAAATGAAAAAAGACCCAAGTGGAGAGGCTCGTTCTGTTTCACGTTAGTCAAATAGTGTAGCTCATTATTTTGCCCCATTTAGCAGAGTTTACTGCCAAGGGTACCTGCACACCAGAATAAGTCAGAATTAGTGAGTTTTTTTTTCTTCTTTTGATGAGCGACAACAGAATCCTAAACAGGTGATGAAACAAAATATGAACCCAGCAAGACAGGCTAGTTTGCCTTGATGAAAGCACAGTGCCTCGGCCAACCAAATGAGGTTCTATTCTTTATCACTTGTCATATGTGGTGGGAATAGTAAAGTAAATGAAAATAAGGCAATCTCTCTTGCAGCCGACAGCTGCAGACAAAATTCATATACCTCGATGAACGACCTGGAAATAAAATTGGGTGGTGGCCAAGTGGTTTAAAGGGCCCATGAAACGATTTTTGGGTTGGGATAAACCATTTTAGATTGGGATTTTACTAATAGCACATCGTTCAGTGGGCCAAAAGAAAAAAGGTAGAAAGTCAAAAGCCCGACTTTCAGTGCGAAAATTTGAAAACAGAGCGGACTATTTCGTACCTCCTCCCCTTCGCAACCTCTCTGCCTTTTCACTGTGATACATCCGCGGTCCCAAAAGCGCGTCATTGGGTCCAAACTGACGTCACACGCAACCGGACCTCACTTATTCCCTTCACCCCTAAGCTGACATTGTGCTGGAAGCTACGCGCTTGCCGGACGAATCAGCCGCCTCTCTTTCATCACCTGACATCATTCTCTGCAGCCACATTTGCCACGTTCACGTGGC